CAAACAAACAAACAAACAAACAAACAAACACATACATACATACATACATACATACCTTGGTGGCCTCCCATCTAAGTATTAACCGGGCCTGGACAAGCTTAACTACTGAGCTCAGATAATGCCAGCCAGACATGGCCACCTAGCTGGGGGTGGAGAATTCTTCAGGTTGAGCTCGACAGGTGGCAATTATATGGACACACATTCTGCATCCAAATGCCAACCAGGTCTGATGCTACCCTTATACTGTACCCCACTTTTTCTGTCCAGGGAGAAGCTGGTACGCAGGGCATGCCACAACATGGATCATGGAGCTCCACGATTGAGTGACCACTTGATCTTGGGTCTTCCCGGTCCCAGTGAAAACACCTTAATCGCTACATTCCACTGGCTCTCCTAATCCTAATCCTGGTCTGAGCAGGAGGCTCACTTTGGTTCTGCTCCCAAGAATGGCAGCTGAAATCAGTTTCTAGGATGTTCTAAAGGACCTATTCCAGAAGGTCCCAGATCAGGAGTCGGGAGACCTTGGTTCAGGTCCACCCTCAGCCCTGGGAGCAGCTCGCACTCTTCCATCTCAACCTATCTCACAGGGCTTTTACTGGGAAGAAGGGAAATAGGAGGACAGAGTGTTCCGAATGTCAACCCCCCTCCCTTCCTCTCTCTTTACTCTCCAAGGGCAAGGAGCAAACACGTGGACTGAGTGCCACTAAGGCTCATCTCAGTCCTCCTTCAGGGATGGCGGCATGGACCCTGCCTGGCAAAAACTCCAGGGGCCTTTCCTCACCTCTCGGCTTGCTGCTGAGCAGCTTCCTGAGCAAGCTTTGATGGGGGAAACTGAACAAAGAGGTCTCCAGCCCGACTGATGAGTGTCTCGTAAGGAAGATCCTGGGGAATCTGGGATAAGAGATGGTGGACGGAAGCCATGTCACAGTCGCAGGCCAGAACTTCTGATGCCCGATGGAGCACAATCTGCAAAGAGAAGCAGCACCCAGGAACTCACTTTGGCCAACTGGCAGCACCAGCGTTTCCCTCTTCCTGGTCTATGACAAGGAGTCCAAAGGCTTCTACTGAAGCCTACCACAAGGGCTCTTCCCTTGTCTTACTAGGCATGGACATCCCTTACATTGCCCTTTTCAGTGGGGCAGAATCATGTCTGGACGTGGTATATCCGCTTTGCACGTCAGCATCTCTCTTCTGTGAATGGGGGAAAAGGCATTAAAAAAACTTCAGTGAAGTTCAGTAGAAGCAGATATGAAAGGCTGAGGCTTTTTATTCCAGAAGGAAGGACAAGTATAAAGGGGGACCTGGTGGAAATGTTGAAGTTTAGGGTGTGGAAAAGGCAGCTGTGAAGAAATAACATCTGAATACCATCAATTAAAACCTGAATGTTGAAAGATTCAGAAGAGATAAAAGAAACCACTACTCGCCCACGTGTACAATATGTTGCTATAACCTGGAACAGTTCTTATTGCTTGGGACGGCTTTAAAATGCACAAGCCAAATTCATGGAAAATAAGGTTATGAAGACTATATAGTCATGATGACTATATATATGACCTCACTATTTAAACAGGCCTTGGGTCCGAATGATATTTTTTTCCTTGAGCTGTTGTTTTTGGCTCTTATATAGGTGATTTTATTGATTATCTTATATGATGATACTATTTTCTCCTGTATGTTTTTGCCGTGGCTGACAGAAAATTGTATGCCACTCCGAGTCAGTTCTAACTGGCGTGTCTTGTAAGTTCAGGTAGGAAGATGGAGGAAGGGAAGGGAAGGGAAGGGAAGGGAAGGGAAGGGAAGGGAAGGGAAGGGAAGG